GCAAATGCACCCACACGTGCGCTTCCAGATCTGCATTTAAACACCCTTAGATTCTACGGCACCATCTCTCTGCTTGGTTAGAATGGGAGACTAGATAGAAGTGCCCACGTTATTAAAATCTTTTGACACTGAGGTCATCCCCCTCCCCCTCTCCTGCTGTCCCTGATGCTTTATATATATCATAAAAAGCTCCTATATATATGTGGTTGAACAGAAACAAAAAAAGGTAGATTTTTTCTTTCTCCTTTTTTTAAATTGTCTCTTATATGTGATACATGAGTGAGTGTGCGCCATTGCACGCTGACTTCATAGATGCCTTTTTTTTTTTTACAAAACTGTAAAGGTCTTTAATTTTGTAGTGAAAGGGGGTATTTATTTTATGGAAGAAGCCCCTAAGGCTGTTATTTCTTTTTTTTTTTCCTTCACCTCTTTTATTTTTATGTTTTACCCTCTGTTCCTGTTTAATGCATTATTTGCTTTGTTTGGTATACCTGTCTTCAGTCTCACTTGCTTATTAATTTTTCATCTATTTTATGACATATTTCAACCTCACTTGCATGCTATAGGCTAGAAAATCAGCTCTCTTTTTTTGCAAACTACTGTTTGCTTTTTTTTAATCAGAAATAAGTCATTATTTTTCTTTTTTCCCCCCAAACAATTTGGGCAAAATGAATCCAACCTTATGTTCTTACGCTGTGCATTTTTTCATCTCATATGTAAATATTTTGATACGTCATCAGGTGTATTATTTCCTCTCAGCTGAAGGAAAAATATTTGTTTGCAAATAAATTTGAATTCTGAAATATGTTAATTTAACAAATATTGTGCAGGATTACATAAAATCTTTTTGTTTGTTTGTTTTTTCTCTTTTCCATGAGAACATTAAATGCTTCTTTTAATGTTTCCTTTTACTTCATCCATCCTTATAATGATATATATATATTTGAACATTTAAAGGGCACCTTTATTTTTGCTCTTGGGTTTTACATATGCAGAGCGGTTTTACAAAAGTCTTGTGTTAATAATCATATTTTCGCAATATCCTTTTGGCGGCACGGGAACTAAATGAAGGATATTTTATAAGAACCTCAAAATGGAAGATATTTTAGACGACTTGTTCTGTCACTGGCAAGAAAAAAAGGGCTAATAGACTCTCCCATCAATACCATATTGCGGTGACCAGCCTTTTAAGTTCCAAAATACTATGTATTCTTGGCTGCAGAAATTGGGGCTGAGCTGAAAGCAAGAGTGAATTTCAAAGGTAAGAATTCCGGGAGAAAAAAAAAAAAAAGAGAAAATGAGGACAAGGTTTAAGAGGGAGAGATGTCATATGGTGGTGAAAATAAGGAGATAGTGCAGAAGAAGTGGGGGGACCTGTGCAGAAGAATAAAGGAAGTGGATAGGGATGAGAGGGAAAGATAGGCTTGTTTGGGAGTACAGAAGTCAGGTGGGCGCAAATGGAGAGGCAGGTAAAGGAGCAAGGAAAAAAAATAACTGGACCGAATGTCACTATGCAATAATGGAACAATAATAACCGCCAAAAAGACAAGGTCAGGTGTTTTAAGGAAGCAAAAAGAAGTGTTAAAGAAGGAAAGTAAATATAGGAACATTTGCATGGCACGGGAGCAATTATGGGATTGGAGGGGCGGCTGCACATTATGCAGACCTGTGAGATATGCAACAGATAGGAATAGTGAAGCCAAAAAAAAAGACATGTATTGAAAGAGAGTGGTATAGCAGCAGACAGGTAAACTAAAAAGGCATCGAAAGAGGGATGGAAAAAGAGACAGAGGGTAAGAGAGAGCCAGAGAGCCGTGTCTGGGGGGAGGGGATGCAATATCGATCCATGCGGCTTCCATCATTTCGTGACACAGAATGTCAGATGGGCTGAGGGC